TAGGAATGATTTAATTCCTTTCCATGGACATTACTCGCTGTTGTGAAAGCAGTCACCTGTGGTACATGGGTGTTAGGAGTGTCTTAAATAAGCACCTTTAGAGCGAGAGTTTGTGACTGAATTATTGGAGGTTTACAGAGCACTTTGGAAACCTGTAGTGAAAATCCCTGGAAAGGCTGATGCTGGCAATACAGTGATAATACCCCATGTCCTTGTTCTTAGCGTGTGTTCCAGAAACGTGTCAGGTGTGCATATAATCAGAGAGAGCGTTGCCTTTATTTCCTTTTTCCCCCTTAAATAAATTTATCTGTGGTGCTGGGACATAGACGCGGCCCCTCCTCTGCCCAGGCTGGTCCGGATCTCCAGCCATGGGCAACTGCTGGGAGGTGAAGAAAGCCCCGTGCTGAACAGTGACTCTGGTCCCTCGACCATGCCCAACGTCCCGACAGTTAATCTGGCGGTCTGCGCACTGAGGAAGCTTTTCCTTCACCCCAGACAGCAGGCGGTTGGCAGTGCTCTGAAGGCTCCCGGGAAAGGGTGAAAATTATTCTTTGGTCCGCTGTTAAGAAATGCTCTTGGGCATTGCTCCTGCACTGATGTCACGCAGTAAAAGCATCGAGGAACTTTCCTCTTCTGGCTCTTCAGTTGAACAACCAACTGGCAGGAATAATTGATTTTAGTGGGAACTAGGACTTTCACCTGAAGACGAGCAGTATCCAGGGAATGTCAAACCAAATGTACATTATCACCTATTGCATTTCTTCTAGCTACCTCCCTCTTCCTACAAGTAGGACACTTTTCCCAAATATCTAAGTCCTCATTGCTGTAAATTTACAAGGCTGGGATTTTGTGAATTCTTCCAATGGGCATGGAGAACATGATTTTATTTACAACCACCTTCGCATCCTGAGAAACTGCTACGTCTGGGAGAGCGTGTGATTTCATATTTGACTATTCCTACTGTGATTATTATTCTTAAATCCGGTCCTTTGTTACCCCTTTTTGGTAATAGCCAAATTGTAGATGGGATGAACGTAAGATGTTGGAAATGTAAACTTCTGCATCACCCAATTAAACACAAAGAAACAGTAATTTCTAGGGCATGATTCACCTCACTCCAAGGTAGACAACTGAAATAGCTGGGATGAATCACGCTCCAGATGTGTGTCTCTCTCTTCACTGATTTTAAAGGAGTCCAGATGACTGCCTCAGATGCTGTGTGGCAGACATTAAAATGAAGGGAGATAAGTCCCTTTCAAGGTCTTTGGCTGAGTATGTCTGGCCACAGTGTTAAGACCCAGTTTTGAAACCAAGAGACGTGAACTTTCTGGGGTGAAGAGCTCCTATGTCGAATTCTCTCAGAAAATAATATTTTACCCTGACCTTTCTCTAGTTCATCATCTCTTGCTGCTGCAGATGTCAGGTTCTGTCTCTGTAACCCTGCCCTGAAAGAGTCAGACGGCTCCATGGATGCAGCAAGATGTCTTGGAGAATAAATTAAACTGAATCTTTTAATTTTAGGCTCTGACGTTCTCTCAATGGACCCAGCACATGCGATGGCTGGAACTCAAATTCTGCCATCACGCTGCCGTCCTTTACTCACAAGCTGAACTGTATTTGTATTTTGGAAGGCCCAGACTTGCTTGCAGGCTTCCTGGCACGTGGATCCTTTCCTGGGCTAACGCTATGGACCAGGGGCTGGGAAGGACCAGCTAAAGGGGCCTTTTTTCTATCAGACAGTGATACCCAAGAACTTGCAGCCTTTCTCCTCGAGTATCAAGAAACACCTTGCAAAGCCAACTCAGCTCCCGCCATCCACTGAAAACACCTTCCAGATCTCTGCGTTAACAGCAGGAAAAAGGCTGAGCACACCCCCCTGCAAGTCCCTGCCAGCCCTTGCCGCCGGCCAAGCCGTGCTCCTTGGAGCTGGGATTTTGTGCCTCGGGCTCGGAAATGCACTCTTTCAAAGTAGGCTAGGAGGCTCTAAAACACAATCCCTCTGAAGTTTGGTTGCAGTGACGTTTCTGTGGCAGTTTGTGCCCAGAACTGCCTGTGTGTGAAGTGACAGCAAAGTCTATGTCAGCTGAAGCAGAAAAAGCAGAAACACGGCCTCTGCGTAATAGCTCCGTTACTGGTTCATCATCAGTGACAAATGGACTGAAATACCCAATGGCATTAACAAAAGGAACAAGTGTCAGGCCAACCTGATTTATTTTGTGACAAGAAAACTGGTTTTCTGGGCAAAGAGAATGCACTCTACCCCGTTTATTTAGATAAGCTAAACGCAGGATCACAGTGAGCCCGTGGTGGGAGGTAGCCATGGGAGAAAGGGGGAGATGTTACGTATTCCTGCAAGATTTCTGAGACACTGAAATAAATATTTCATGCTGTTTCACAAATCTCCGGTAAGGTCGCTTTGGGAATAGTATTTACAGTTTTGGTCTTCTGTGTTCAAGAAAAGATGCGGGCAAAATATCTAGATGCCTACAAGGGCTGGTGGAATGCTCAGGGGAAGGAAGAGCCGTCTGCCAAGACAAGGCTGGAAGAGCAGAGCTCGCTGAACCTGGGAAGCCGCAGGCTGGGGCGAGGAGGGACAGTGTCCCTAAATACAGCGGAGGGGAGACCCTAGGGAAGGAGTGCTCAGTCCTGGCAGAACAGGTGTTGTCTGGTCTTGAGTGTATCGAGGGGGATTTTCTCCAGCTGCCAAGTCTTCATTCCTTCCAGATCTGGCGTGGGGTTCCTCGTGGTTTAAACTGATTCATGTTTCTGAAAGCATATAGAACCCTTGGTTTAGAGCAGCGCGAGGTGTTGTGGGGAGGCACTGGGACGTATCTCTGGGTGGAGCATTCAGCTGTTGCACTGGAATTGGAAATCAGTCTTGGATTTGTAAGCGTTGCTGTTCCAGATGTAGTTGCCCTGCTAGCTAAGTGTGGGCCCAGAGCTGGGGTTAACTGGGGGTCCTACGCCATCCAGCTCCAGCGGCCGCTAGCTCGGATGGGATCCTCTGGTGCCTGGCTCTTTGCAGATCCGTACCAAAAGATAGGTGGGATAAATTCACCCTAATACAGGAGATGCCCTCTGCCATAAGTTCAGCACATCCATTAGGCCCATTGCTTGATTCTTCAGAGCGAGCTTGTTATTAACCCTCGTCTCTCCTTGCTGTCAGGGGAGTGCGCGGGGCTCGTGTGTAGAGATCCCCTGGGTGATACGGGAAGGAGCTGCGTTTCTTCTACAGCTGATTTTGAACTGGAAAGGGTGGTTTGTCAACATGGAAGTAGGAGGAACGTTGTTGTACTTTACCTACTGGAGGAACACGGTCCACTGACTAGATACATCTTGGCTTTGAGGATGAAGCTAAGTGTCAAGTTAGGCTCTCTTAGATCTTGCTGCTTTATGTACAACTGACTAATAATTGACGAGCTGAAACTGCAACTGTAATTGTCACAAACCTGAGGAGCTTGATTTCTTAAAGGAAAGTCAGTTCAGGGAAATCGGGTCCTTTAATCTGTTGACTGCATTGCCTGTGGGGACTGGAATGCTCTTCTGTGTTTATGCTGAGAACCCTGCAGCAGTGCTAGGAGGTTTACTGCAAGTTTGTACTGTGCAGGTAGTTATTAGCAGACATTTGGTAAGCCAGACTTATAAAAAAGCTGTTAAGAGCGCTCTAACTATTCCCAGTGCTTCTGCACTTACATAACTGCTGCAACGGGTGATTGTCTTTATGCTTTGTATTGCTTGCTTAAATTGAAAGGATATCTGCGGCTGTTAAAGTCTTGCCATGTGGAAGGTCTGTGATGGTTGCGGCGCTGAGCTCTTTCTTTGTGAGCTGAAATTTGGAGGCGAGCCCAAGTGCGTATTCAGTGTGTCTCAGACGGGAGAATTAATGAACAAGGTTCAGGATGGCTCTGACAAGCTAATAAGCATATGGGTAAAGTCTATATTTGCTCGGGCAGTCTTTCTGTTCAGTGCAGAATTCCTGCAGTGGATGAAACATAAGCACAATTTATTATTCTGTTAAAAACATACGTGACTATCATTCTGAGGAGCAGCGGGTGTCCCGGGCATGGATGGATGATTTGTCTTGTGGATGCACAAGTATCAGATGAGTCCTTCCAACAAGCGTTAGGCAGGAGGTTAATATATGTATAGAAAACCAGGTGGCTGGCGATGAAAAGGAGAACCAGTTAGGTCCTTGCCGTGGTGCTGGTCCAGCTCACAGCAGCTGTGTGCTCCACGTGCAGAGACGTTCGGTGGGTCCTGTAGGACACGAGTCTGGCCTAAGTCCAGTTTCTAGTGGGCAGGTTTGGCCCCTGAAGGCTGTCACAGCAGCCAGCGCCGGCAGGTTTCTTGTGGGCAGAGCAGGGTTTGAATGTGCCACGGAGCTGGGCTGCGCTCCAGGTCAGGTCTGAAACGGGTCAGCAGGGTGCCACGGTGCCCTTCTTACCTGCTGTGCAGCTTGAAGATTTCTAAAGCAAGGGATGTCAGTACATCACCAACACTAAACAAATACTGAGCTCTCAGTTTATATAAAAAAAGTGTTCTAAATATGTTTGCAAGCTTTGCTTGGATTTGCATGGAAAGCTTGAGCCTCGAGCTGACACTTGATCCTTTAACTGAGCAAACTTGCTCTGAAATGAAAATTCCTTTGCAGGACACCATCGCTTGGTTTTGCTATTTTTGGGACCTCCCAGCTACCCATGACGCTAACCGAATCGCTCCCGAAAGCTGCGCACCTTCGCCCATGTGCATGCTCGTAGCAGCGGGGGAGGTGTTGCTTTTCCCGCGCGTGGGGCCGGCTGGGTGGCACGCTTGGGAGCACCGCGGCGGGCTCCAGAGAAGGCGGCAGCCAGGGTTCCGTCACGTGAGGGTGAAACTGTTAGGGATCGGGATGCAGGGAAATGGTTTTGCTTTGGCTGAGCGCTTTTTTCTGTGCCGCTGCTGTGCATGTGCTGGCGTCGGGCAACCGGGCTTTTATTGACTGTGGTTTTCTGTTTTCCAAGCTGATCAGTGGTGGTTCTATTGTAAGTGCTGAGGCAGTATGGGATCACGTCACCATGGCCAACCGGGAGTTGGCGTTTAAAGCAGGAGACGTTATCAAGGTCCTGGATGCTTCCAACAAGGACTGGTGGTGGGGTCAGATCGATGATGAAGAAGGATGGTTTCCCGCCAGCTTCGTGAGGGTGAGTGCCTTTCTTCTTTTTACCGCTCCAATGAATCACTGCCAGCGCTGCTCAGAACAGTCAATGAGCTGGGCTGGGTACTGTGTTTGTTGTCACTGATGCTTATTTCCAGGGTCTGTTTTCTGTCTGAAAAATGGGGAGCAAAGGAGGCTTCAAAAGAAGGGAGAGTGGGGTGGAGGGAGGCTGGAATAGGTGTTGGCTCTGCCTTTTATGCTCTTGGGAGATGGAGTGGCCTTTGCTGTGTGTCTCAACGTCTTGTAGCCTCTCTCCTGAAGCAGTTATTTGGAAAACCTGTTAAGCATTGTGCAGGCTACGAGTAGATGATTCGGTGGGGCCTAAAAGTTCACGCTGGCTACAAGCAATGCACGTTTGGAAGAGCTATCTCATCCGCGAGTCGCACAGGGAGGTGTCAGCCCTCCCCTTTCTAAAAGCAGTGCCGGGCTTTGACTCTTCAGAAGTTTTGGATGTAAAATTGCTTCACTAATTAGTCCGTGACCAGCTCTGCTTAATTTTTTTTAAGGGGACAAGGAACGATTTGGCTTGTCTCTTTTTCTGCTGAAGCAGATTTTGCTGTACCCAGCCACCCCCAGTGGTGACCTGGCCTTTCACAAATAAGAAGCACTTAATTTTTTTTCTCAGTATGTGTTAAGGTGGCAAAGGGACAAGAAGATGCCCTTTTTGCTATCGTCAGCTCCTGCCACATTATTTGGGTGCTCTGGAGCCTTCCTTGGGGAGTCAAGACGTCGGCTTTGACCTTGTGCTCTTCCTTCTCCTCTCCCTCTGTGCAGGGTTTGATAGGTGGGATCAGAGGTTTAATTCCTTTAGAAGCTTAGGAGATACGGTTCAAAAAAAATGAAGTTTTCTTTTGCCTTGTAAAATTGTGTGAAAGATGACTCTTTCCTCTGAACCTCCCAGGCAATTTGACAGGCTCCGTGGCAGTCGAGGGGAAGGCTGTTCTCTCCGAAATGCACGCTGAAGACCACGCTGCATCCCGAGGAGATGCCGTGTTTGTTTTGGTCCTCTGCCTGTCTTATGGTCCCTCTTTGGGCAACCCTGTATCACCAGCATCCCTGTTTGATTACGTTACTTCATCTGGGAAATAGCCCTATGGATTAGGAAAATTGGGTTAAAATGTGAGACCTGGTGTTTCTTCATGATGCACAATGACAGCAATGAGGGAACCCAGCCCTTCTGCCTCCCCAATCCACCATTTTTTTCTCCCTGGGTACTCCTGATGCAGCTCCTGCATCTCCCCTAGGTCTGGCCAGTGCTGGGAGTGAGAAATCAGTGACAGGAACTGGAGCCTGGGCTGCCTGTGTGAAAAAGTTCATGCTGTTATTCTGGCCCAGAATAACAAATAGGGTTGAATTGGACACCATGGGTCTGACGCTGCAGCCAGTGGGGATAATGAGTTTGGAAAATGGATTTGTATCAGGTGGGATCAAGATGATAATCGTACTGCAGAAAATATTCTCACCCGTGCTGCTAGCACATCACATCTGTGTTGCAGGCCAGAAAGGCTGAATTAGAAAAATCTGTCTGATTATTTTTGCTGAATTTGGAGACTGAAATATTCTGGGCCAGTTTAACTTTTCAGTGCATTGACCAGTGCTGTTTTGTTTTGTGATTCAGGGGAAAAGATTTAATATTGTTTTTTGCGTGATGTCATAAACGTTCTGTACACCGTAGGTTTCATAACAGTCTGGTTTTGTGCCATCCTGTTTTCTAAAAAAACACACGAAAGAACTAAACAAACAAACCCATTTACTCTAAACCATGGATCATTCAGCTTGGCTGAACTTTCCATTTCTCCCTACACTTGTCAAAGGCTGGGAGGATGATTTTAGAAGCTGGGCAAAACAAAGGAGAGGAATCGATGAATCTCAGGCTGTTGTTCATGAATGTCTGAACAACATCCTGGAACAAACCTCGGTGCTTCGGATCACCATGGTCTTACCAGGCAAGTTTCTTGCCCATCCTGTCTGATGTCACAGCCCCACAGCTTGACTTTATTCCAACAAAATCAATCCTTCCATCGGCTCTGAAAGAGGCCAGATCAGTTATTCCATCTGTGAGACGCTTGCTCAGCGCGGGCTGGGACCAGACTCCTGCCCTGGACCCAGTGATGCGCTCCCAAAGGGGGCAACCGCATGGTTTTGCTGCCATGAATGATAATTAATATTTAAAAATAAGTATCAGGCATTTCAAAAAATACACAAGCGGAGTTCTGTCAGTTTGTCTGCAGCTCTGCAAGGGAGGCTGAAGGGGAAAATTCGCCGCTGGGGTTTACGAACCAGAGCTGCCTCTTCCCTGCAGCACTCCTCGGTGTGCTGCCGCGAGCCAGCCCACTCGCTGGCTGGCCTGTGCCGAGAAAACAACTGCCATTTGGGCTGTCATGTTCTCCTCTCCTCTGTTGGCTGAGGTCGCTTGCTTGCCTCTTCATTTCTATTCTTGCATATTCCCCCCACCCCCTTCGCTGTCTTTCTTGGTAAGTAATTTGAACCAGATGCCTGCAGAACCTTTGGGGCCTTTAGAGAAGGTGCCTGTAACCCCTCTTTTGCTTGCAGGACTGTTGCGACAGGTTTATGCTCCTTTGGGCTCCTGTCAAGGACCGTTTAAGCTGAACACTTTTCCCTTTGCTCTTCTTTCCATTTATTTCCTTGTATTTCTTATTCAGCTGATCACTCTTTCATAATGAGGAGGCTGGGTTTTTTTCTCTGTTGTACTTTGAGCCCTGCTTTTTTAAGATGATGCCAGAAAACTGCCTGATTTAGCCTAGGTGGTTCTAGTTTTACTTGCAAAATAATTGCTTTCCTTTATATTTCTCTTATGCAAGTACAAGAGGAAAAGGGAACATGTTGCATGGCAGAGGATGAAAAGCAGTTCAAGTAAGGGATGACAGGACAGACCGGACGGGCACAAACCCGAATAGGATTGATTTCAGGGTATTTTAGACTGCAGGGCTCTTGTAGGTGCTAACAGGGGTGCAGCATAGGATCACTGCAAAGTCAGATTCCTCTAAAAGTCACTGGGATCACTTCTGAGGACAAAAGTGGGCTGGGAACCTAGTTTACAACGAGACGTCTGCCGCTTCTTGCTCTCCAGCCAGATCATATGAAAATCTTTGGCAAAGCATTTGGCACTCGCAGAATCTCATAGCAGGAAAAATTCACGTTTGCAAGTGCAGAGGAAAAGAGTAACCTGCTGCTTCCCTTGGCCTCTTTTACACGTGTAGTTAGGGGGGATGCAAGCAAAAACTGCACTTGAACTGCCTGCGAGTTCAGGAATTGTCTCCATCCATCACACCTGCAGTTATCCTCTTAGCTTGAAACTCAGCTAGAAGAAAGGGGGTGAGAGAAAAGCCATAGAATTTTGAGAGCACAGGAATTTTTGAGGAGAAACTGGATGATAAAATGATGCTTTTTGTGGAAGAGAAAAAGCACAACATAGGAGAAGTACAATTCGGAGCTGGTGAGCAATGGTGAATGGTTTCCTGCACTCAGGGAGAAAGTTATGGAAACCCTAAGTCTTTGGAGAGGTGGATGAGAAGTCCAGAACTCAGTTTAAGGCTGGATAATGAGCTGGGTTTAGGACAGGTGAAGGTACCCCTGTTGTATTTGGGTGCATGTTATCAAGTGAGCGTGCTGGACACCCATGGGGTGCTACGATCAGTTTTGTGATTAGCTGCACAGTGTCTTTGAATGTCCTGTTGACTTTCAGGTTTCTGGGAGGGTGGGAGGTACAACTGGAGAAAACCAGCAGAGATTTTAATCAGGATTTCACATACTCGTAGTGGTGATGCTACTTGTTGCTCTTCTGTCCTTTGCGGCTGGCATAGCCCTGGGCTGTACAAGTTTTTGCACACCAGCGTATCGAGTCCACATCCACTCCAAGAATAGGTTTAGTGTTTGTAGGGAGGAATTTAGAGCACAGAATCAAACTACAGTACTGCACATGGATTGGTTGTTGTACCTTAAGGTCTCCTTTAGAAAATACAGTTAAGTCTCAAAACAAAGTTTTGATTGCAGAGCCCAACATCAAGTCTCTGAAATGGCCCGAGTGAGATTCAAACACTCCAAGCACAGGAAATCAAATGGCATCGTGTTTGGGCACTGACATATTTCCACTAAAAAAGAAATAAATAAATGAATGTGGATGTATGTTTAGTGCTGTGAAATCTTCCTGAAGAGACACAGCAGAACGCACCCATCCAGGGCAGAGAAGGGGATTTATTTTGCTATAAAGCTCTCCTTAATCTCTTCGGATACCAAGAGGCAAACTGAGTTTCCAGAATACATTTCTTCTCCCCCACAACAGCGGTGACTCTTCCTTCCTTATGTTTACTAAGCTAAGCTGAAGAGCAAATCTGGGCCCTTGAGCAAAGGTGTTGTATAAATGCTGTGTGTTCTGTACCTCTTACGTAGGAGAAAACGCAGGGGTGGCTCAGTGCAGCAATGCTCCTTGTTCTCTCTCATCATCGCCTAGGTTTCCCTAAGC